ACACAATGTTTGAAGCTGGCTGGCAAGACTGGCCAGATTGCAAAAGAGATGGGGAGATATAGCATTGAAGTGCTAGGAATCTGTGAGCGATGAGCAGATGCAATGGAAGTCGACTCTCCAAACTGTCTGTCAACTGGAGAGGAGAGTCAATAATCTACAGTGATATTGTCACCCAGACGACAGTCGAGGGCACACTGAGTTATCGAGTGACTATCATGATGTCACCAACAGCATCGAAGGCTCTCTCTGTCTGTCTGTCTGTCTGTCTCTGTCTCTGTCTCTGTCTCTCGTGCAGTGGGAGCCAATCTCCTCCTCCAGCTGGATCATGACAGCGAGATGGATTCAACTCGAACGGAAGGAAAGCCACAACCATGCAATGCTACGCGGTGCACCTACAAATAATGCGGATCAAGGGGAAAAGAAGGAGGAGTTCTACAGACAACTGCAATCAACACTGGAGAAGACCTCAGTTAGCTTCATCGAAATTCAAATGAGTGACGTGAATGCCAAACTGGTAGCGGACAACACAGACAAAGAACTCATGATGGGTCAAGGCAGTTGGTAAAATGAAGGAGAATGGAGAACTGTTTGCAGACTTCTGCGCATTCAATGATTTGGTGGTTGGAGGTGACGCAGTGTGTACAAACACAAGGATATTCACGAGGCAGTGCGACATGGATTTCACCAGACACCAGGACACACTAAATGTCAGACGGAATTCACTTCAAGCTGACGAAAGTGGATACGCAGCCTATTGGACTCAAGATCAGAAGAAGAAGAAGAAGAAGAAGAGGAAGAAGAGGAGCAGATATAGGTTCACACCACTCAATATCTATCTAGTGCAAGGAACCTTCAAAATCAAGTTGAAAGCCTTCAAAGACGTTGGTGATGATAAACCACAGTTCAAGTCCAACACCCACCTAGAACAGAAAATGAACTGAAATATGAAATTACAAAGCACATCTTCACGTCAGCCATCAACACACAATGGGAGATATCGAGCTAATTCCCTGAAGGAACCTGTGTGGATGATCAATGGTACTCTTTGAAAGCTATATGGAAAGAAACCTACGAATCGTATCAGGAAGGAAGAAGAAAGAAGATAAGGAATGGAATGGATCTCGACGGATAAATGGAAGCTGATAGAGAGAGGGAGTATGAAGAAGTAGAAGATAAAGCAAATAAACCAGTGCAGTGCAGGGATCAACAACGAAAAGAGGAAATGCACACAACCTATAAAACACAACACTGGGCAAAGATCTGAAGAAGAGTGCGCACAAAGACAAAAGACACTTCTACGACACACTTGCAAGTGAAGCAGAACAGTCTGCTGGTAGGAGAGACCTGACAACACTGTATCCAATAAGCAGGTTACTATGTGAGAACAGGGAGAGAAACACAGGTGAAAGCAGTGAAACATAGTGAAGGAAAGCCAGTTACCATCAAAGAGGAGAGACGAGGCAAACGACGGGTTCACCACTTCAGGAAACTCTTGAATCGACCACCACCAGCACCAGCAAATCATCCACAACTACCAGTGAACACAAACCCTCTGACAAATCCAGAAGTCCCGAGAGCCATAAAGTCGCTGAAATGCGGGAGAGCAGCAGGACCAGATGGAATCCCACCAGAAGTACTGAGAACAGACACAGAGACAACAGCGGACATGCTCACACCACTACTGCCGAAGGTTGGGATGGAAGGAAGGAAGGATAGCTACAGATTGGGAGAAGGGCTACCTGATCAAACGCCTAAAGAAGAGTGACCTAAGCGCTTGCAAAAACTGACATTGAATCATGCTCCTACCCACCCAGAGCAAGTGAAATATTGAGCCTCATCATCCTGGAGAGATCGAAAACGAGACCCTACAGGATTTGGATTTCGCCGATGATGATTTGAGTTTAATGCCTTGTAGCACAAACTCGAAGGTCTACAGGTGAAAACCAATAAGTTGGCAAAAAAGGCGAGGCAGCGAAGACGGGACTTCAGGTGAACGTAGAGAAGACAGAGGTGATGAAGATACCCAATCAACAACAACAACAACAACAACAACAACAAGAAGCGCCAATCACCATGAACGGGAGAAACCTAGAGGAAGTAGTCTCTTCCACCTACGTAGGCAGCATCGTTTCACCTACTGGCGACGACAAAGATGAAGATATCAAAGCCAGGATGGGAAAGACAGCAAGACAGGCCTTCATTAACCTGAAATCAGCGTGAAGATCTACTGCACTGCACTGCACTGCACTGCACTGCACTGCACTCAGCACAAAGCATGAACAAGATCCGGATTTTCAACACCAATGTCATTATTGTCAGTGCTTCTATATGGTTCAGAAACTTGGTGAGTCACGAAAGGTGTTTCCTACAAACTACAGAAATACATCAACAGCTGTCTACGCTCGACACTGAAGATCAGATGGCCAGAATAATAAGAATAAGCAACAAGTAAGTTTGGCTATCTGGCTGGCTGGCTGGCAACGAACCAACCGAGAATTTATCGCTCAACAAATACACAGAATAGAGTGGAGATAGACTGGATTGGACACACACTGATAGGACAATTCGAGGACATCAAGTGCCAGTCCAGGCCCATGAGCTGAAGCCAGTTGGAAAGCGACGAGTTGGGCGTGCGTGGCGAGGGTGATATGGAGTAGGGCGTGTTAGGAGGAAATGGAAGCTTGTGGGCAGTGGTGGGGCCAGGTTGAAAAGACTGCAGAGAAGACGGTGAAATGGCGACGTGCTACTGGAGCTCTATGTTCCACTATGAATCCAAGGGACAAATAATAATAATGACAATATATCTGTTAGGCAAAATACAAATTTGCGACAATTAAATTTTAAGGTGTAAAGTTGTGTATGAGAAATGAGCCAACTTTTCGAACAATTCGTTCATACCAGTAAATTTCTGAAGTTTGAAAGTTTATTTCGTAAGATAATCAGGTATACCACAATAACTGCACACCTAACAGGTATCCAAATGTTAGGTGGAACTAACTACTCAGCATGCTGAGGGTTATGTATAATTGTATTCATCTTCGTGACTGACAGTGGAATCTAGAATACCCGACCCGTCCTATTTGGGATTCGTCAGCCGGATGTATATGCAGCCCAGCTAGTGATGTTGTTCCCACTGAGACTGGAATCCAGTACCTATCGATCGAAACACTAGAGTGTTTGTTATTCACTAGGACACTGTGACAAGACTGCCACCTCTTATGAAACGGTTAGCAGTTTTTGTTTAACACTTGTAATTTTCCGTTGCTAGACGGAAAGCATTTCCTGGAAAAAGAAAATAATATACAATGTGACTCACAGCATTGATAATCTGCATGAAAGCCCTTACTACAAATTTGACTCATATGTGAAATGTTTTTGGAACCATGTAGTCATTTATTTGTGAGCTTGTCACCCTACCTCATGTATACAAAAGCGTGCACATTTTGAATTGCTCCACTTGATATAAAGCCAACTATGGAAGCAGCAGTTGAACAAATGAATAAGTCATCTCTCATAAATGTTGAATCAAGCATCATTGTGACCATCTGAGATCGCCATGGTTTAGCAGACTTGTATTGATACTGGTTGGTGATTGATGGTGAAATGAAAATTTGGGCTACGGTGGTCGCTAGTTCATATCCTGCTACGGGTCAAATTTTCATTTCCCCCTTCAATCATCCATCACCCAGTATCAGATGAATAAATAGAAAACGTAAGCTCCAGTTGATAATGTTAGATAGACTATACAGACATTGATTTGATTGTCATTTCCGAAAGTAGAAACGATCGATGAGTCGAGTGTGCTAATTAACGGTAGGATGAAGCACACCCGGATATATATATATATATATATATATATATATATATATATATATATATATATATAATCTCTTTCAGGTCACGAGCTGTTAAAGCGTAAAAAGATTTTATTAGAGATGAGAATGACCTAATCTCTTTGTTTCAACTCTGAATGCACTCTTCATAACAGAATTCAGTTTTAATCACGATTCTGTAAAGGGGACTTATCGTCACTTGTCGGTAAAAATGTTGTACCAACATATTCGGTAGTTACAAAGTATGTGAAATTATTTAGGTAGGTAGGTGTTATATCAGTTTGAAGATTACAGTAATGATGGATAGTGAATAACAATGGAATGCAGGATGCATGTTTCGGCCTATTTAGGACTCGTCAGCTGGTTGTGCCTACCTCTCATTGAGTGATGTTGTTCCCACTGAAGCTCGAACCCAGGACCAATCACCTCAAACCCCAGATCATTATCTACTAGGCCACTGAGTCACAACAGACACTCCTTGTGAGATGAGTGTAGTCTTTATGATGCTGCTTGCATTATCCCATCGTTAGTTGGAACAAACTGATCGACCTTTATTGGAATTATTTACATTATCTTTATAAGGGATAACTATATGCATTTCTAATCTATCGAACTTCATTCAGAAAAGAGAAAATCTTAAGGGGTTTAGATGAATTTGCATAGAATAGACAACAAGGGGTACACTGTTATGCAAACCTCAAACACGTTGAATGTGGAGATGAATACCGATTTGCTGAGAAGTATACATTCAGTCAATCGATGCTTCCAAAAAGTTTGAATGCAGCTAATTTTTTCTGTATTCTCCGAGTAGTCTGGTTATTGTCGGTATTTCTGCCATGAATTTGCCTGTTTTATAGCAGCAGCATACACTGGGAACACCATTGAAGACAAACAAAATCAAGGTGTTTGATTGTAATCCATCTGACAACTAGGTGTTTTCAAAACGTCAGTGTAATATTCACCTTTCACAGATTGACATGCTAGTGTGTGCAACAGATGAGCTTAGCTAAAGAAATTATAAGAATCATACAACTGATAGTCATTGAAATAAGGCAGAAGTACATTTGAATTTTGTGCACAAATGCATTATATATATATATATATATATATATATATATATATATATATATATATCGAAACGAAATGGATTGCATCAACAGTACTTACATTCCTCTCCATTGCTTCTGATCTTTCCAACAGTGCAACCAATTTTGCCTCATGCTGATTAAGCTCCACACAGTTTTTATATAAAACACTTTCAATATCGACAATTGCTTGATTTAAACTGCCAAGATTAGTTGTGGGATTACAGACAGTACTATTATTATTATTGGTAGCAGTCGAAATATTCCTCTTCGGCGGTTGATTTTCAACACTGCAACTATCCGAAACCAGTATCTGAGCATACTTCATGTTGTTTGTTAGGTAAGTGGATGTCTGTTCCTGCCTTCTCCCTAATCGAATGTACTGCTTATGACACTGCTGGTTACTCGTGTTACTGATCTGTTGATATGTCCGTAGCGGCCATTGGTGAGTTTAGATATCAAAATGAAAACAGTTTGTTGGTTTGGGTGGTTTATAAGTGTTTGTCTTGGTAGTACAAGACTATTGTGCACAGTTTATATGTGTATTTTTGCAGTGGTTGTGTCACTTTGGCACATTGTACAATATTTGTGTGCGTTATTTTGCAAGTGAACACCAAACAGCTCTGTTCAAGCGTTAACAAATGTTACTTGAATGTCTGGAAAAAAAGACATAGGTAATGATAATAATTATTATAATAACAAATTGCTCGTATGATAGTGTGTTTACCTTAGCTCCCCTAATTTCATGTTGAAAGTACTCGTGGTGCTGGTGGTGGTGGTTGGTATGTGAAAGGACAATTGAACTGTTTCATTTCACGCTTGGTTAGACAGGGCCTATGGAAGTGTAACACTTAGGTGGGTAGCTGTTCAGCTGCTTGTGTGTTGCTGTTGTTGTTGCATCCTAATATCATTAGTTCCTCATGCCTTCCGCGGAATGCAAACCCATTTACTCGACAAAAATCACAATTCTATCACAACAGGTTTTCCAACATACCAGTTGGCAGCAAATTTTCTCAAGATTCGTCGGCGTAGAGTGCCTCTATTTTGTGGTATAATTGGAGCACTTGTCTATGCACAGGTTTCATATACAACCATACGGTAAGTAGTATCGAGGTTTGTCGCAGAGTTCTGGGTAATGAGGGGATTGCAATAGATAAGGTTATAAACTTCCACCGGTTTCGGTGGCTCCGACAAGTCTTGTACAACCCAAACCAACGCCTGTTTTCACATGGCGACGCCAAGTGAAATAGGATTGGGCTGGAAGAAGGCTAAGGCAGGCTACACAGAAATGTAGTAGTGATCCACGCAGTCTGTAGCAGTCTGTTTGAGACATTTAGGAGTGTGTTGGCTGTGTGACTAGATTCATTCGGACGTTAGAAATCGTCAGTTAGCAACTCTCGGTGACACTCCTTGTCATCTTCGAATTACTGAGCATTTTCACTAGAGTCCATCTGTCTGCTAGTTCGCCTCTCACACTTCTGTTTGCTTACTTTGGTATGGTGTTATTCGCGATCGCTACAACTTGCGTACTGTTGTGAACTGTGGTAGCTTGAAGGGATGCATATCTGTTCAAGATTCTACAGAGATCTGCCCATTCTTTCAGAGACTTCAGGTACATGGGATAATTTGAAGTTGGTGAGTAACCAGAAAGTATGGGTGCACTCACTGCCAAAGCATTTCTTGTTCAGCATTTGCGTTTTCCTTTACCGACAAGGTGCAAAACAGTCAGTTAATGCAAGAATACAGCTTGATCACTGTGGTAGAGTATAATTCCATAGTACATGGCTTATTTGATATAGTACACAAGAATACAGTATTATTTACTGAATGATGTCTCAAGCGGAATTTATTGCTCATAATCATATCTACGTAGTCGTACAACGGTTGTTTGATACTCGTAATTTCCCTTTGGCTATACAGGGTGAAATTGTTCGATGTCTGTTGACAAATGAGGTCCTATACAGATGCCTCCATACTGCTGAGTATTCCTGATGTTGCATTCCTCACGGCGATTAGCAGTGGAATCCAGGATGCACGTTTCACCCTACTTAGGACTCACCAGTTGGATGTACCTGCACCGCAGTGAGTGATGTTGTTGAACTTTCAAACTTCCCCTACACAGTCCAATAATTCTTCATTCTTTTGTTTTGATGGTGGTAAAGTTTTTCGCGCATTATCAACATGTGATAAATCATCCTGTTTACATGTGTTAAGTGTGGATTCTATGAACAAAGGACTCTGTGATCAATCTCTCCTTCCCCCTAGCTGTAATGGATTTTAACTCTGTCATTCTCTCCCATCCTATAGTGTGATTATGGGTCAGTGCATGCACAGCGAAAGCCGAGTTTTCTCTTAAATGCTTATCTTAGTGGTGCCTACAATTCTATGTTTCAATAGAATCGACCTCACCATCATTACATGGTATTTGACAGATCAGGTTATTTCGCTTGATTGGTTCTACCGGATCTTTTATCCTGCAGAGTTTCTCTCTGAGTGAGTTTGTGGATTTAAATGCCACCCTAATCCCAATACTGGTAATAATTCAAGGTGAAAATCCCTATGTACCTTCTTTACATGACAACACTACGGAGGATTACATTTCCCTATTAGGTAATTCGTGTTTACCACTGATATTATCAGTCTTTCGCTTGAAGTCAGTAGAATGCATGTTCCAGACCTACGTACAGCATTCACTGTGAACTTCTGTCTGAAATGATCCATCTTGAATGGACACTAAATTTAGCCGGGGCGTTCAGCTATCGGTTTGAAACCGTAGGACAAATTACAAGCTTACAGAAACGCTACACTGCGTCATCCAGAGTAGCAAAGAGTTGGCATTCCCTTATACCAAATTTAAAGTACACTACTTACTAAAAAATGTTGTTAATTATATTTCCAATCTACTTTACAGTGTATTCTTTCAAAAACAGCACAGTCAATGTCCTGAGGCTCATATAGTGTCGGAGATTAGTTTCGTTCTGCAGAATAGTGGATTTTGTTGGCTTTACAATTAAGGTTAGTTATCTGTATGTGAAAATCTTAAATGATGATAAGGCGTGAATACATGTGTAATAATGTAGTGAATTCTGAGTCATGCTTCATATGGGCATTAAGCGTGCACTTCATCTCAGATACAGAAGGTTCCTTTGGGCTCTCTGGCACCGATTGGAGAGATACCTACGCTGCAGTCCATTCTGTCTTACTTACTGTGGGACTGCGAGATATGGCAATTAAAACTAGAAGATATGGAGGAATTACAGGATTTTGATCACAAATGTCTTCATAATATTTCTCAGGTTTAGGGAGATCACCATATGAGCAATGCTGAGGTCAGACGAATGGTTCTAGGCAAGACAGGCATGTCAGTTGATGAGGTTATGAATCATTATTGACTGAGATGGCCTGGACATGCACTACAGATGCCAGGCCACCACCTACCCTGACATGCAAAGCTGGAAGAAGTTGGAAGAAGGTCCACTTCAACCAGACCAGGACATGGTACAAGTCGATGAAGTCCCTGACTGTTGCACGGAAGGTTTCGATTTCACCTCTATCGGAGTGACATATGCTCACCCGTGACAGACTTCAACTTTCGCCTATAAAAGTATGCTAGTTTATTTCCCCCTTTATGACAATGTGTCACTAAAGCTTTCTTTCGGAACAGAATATATAGCGTATTTCAACATTCAACAACTTCCAAAGCGGTCTACAAACTTTTTTAGTGACTGTCAGCGTTTCATTTAGTGTTTTCTCCCAGTGTAAATGCTCTGCGGGTATGTGCGATCATTTAACCGGAGAAAGTATTACTCAGCATATCTTCGATAAAAGTTGAAGTAACTAAAGTACAGCCCTGTTCTGGTTGGCTTGTGATGAAGCAACCGTCTCATTAACATAACTTCCATCCAGCTATAGAGTGTACCCATGTTGAACGCATATAGCATCGCATGACATCGAGTCTTTTAATGGACTGTTTCTATCTTTGCAAAACATCACATTTTTCACTCAGTTATCATGTTTCAACTCATATTCCGGATGTTCAGCGCTGATGTAATAATTGTTGTTTTGCCAAATATTGAAACTGTTCTTATCCAGATCATGAATTGAGAACTTTGAGTGCGCAAAAAGTGGATCAATTACTACTAGATCGTTTTAACGTTCTCTTTTGAACTGGTTTCAGAATGTTCTTGAAACAGTGAATGAATAGAGGAGAATGCTCGCATTGCTTAAATTAGTGAAAAATGAACTGCGTCCTGACAAGTCACTGGTCAAATCAGAGACTCTGTTACATAATACACCTGTATAAAGCTCACGTCTTTGTTCTTAGCACTAATAGTAATAATGATTATACAACCGAAACCTATACAAATATTTCTGTTAAAGACTATAAGGAGTATTTGTTGTGCGACGACTTATGATACCTGCCGGTTGCTCTGGACCGAATTAGTTCCAGTCGGATTCGAACCCAGCACACATTTGAACCGATGAGTGACCATTTCGAACACTAAAACCGCTGTTGAATTTCAATCTGCTTGACTAGTGAGGGTTATTACTCAACGAATTATGGGGTATTTCCTAAATCTTAGTGTTGATAATCATTGCCTAACATCGAATTACAAATATGCAAACAACTTCACTAACGTGGAGAGTTGTCCTGAATAGATGTAATCACTAATGTCTGCACCAAAGATGGAAGAAAACAAGTCGCTTTTAACTGACCTACATTCAGTCTACTAACACAGGCTAGCCGTTACTACCCCACTGATTAAACAAATATGTTATGTTCAGAATGGAGGTAGGCATCACCCCAGACTGCAAACACTGATTAACCCTGCCTGTTAGGCTGAAAGTAGAGTGTAGGAACAAACTTGCTTTGTCCAGTTACATATGAGTAGACAGTTGTACATACTTTGTAATACAATTAGGCATCAACTGGAAGCCTTTTATTAACCTTGTAAAGCATCGCAAACAAAACCGATATCTCAAATCCGTAAGTACCAATGCATGAATATCAGCCACCGTGCCAGTTATCCCACAGAGATACTTCATTTTAATTTATTTGTACCTTGGGATCCTAGTGGAACATAGAGCTGCAGTAGCACGTCTCCATTCCACTCTGTTCTCTGCAACCTTTTGAGCCTGGCTCCACGACAGCCTAGAAGCTCTCATTTCTTCCTCACACGATCTCCGCCATGTCACCCTCACTTCGGACGCCCAACTCGTCGCTTCCTATCTGGGTTCCACTCGAGGGCCTGGAGCCTGGTTTACCTGAATAGTCTTCTGAATGCATGTCCAATCCAGTCTATCTCCACTCTATTCTGTGTATTTGTT